TACTACAGGACCTGGAAGGAAGTGGCTATCACTGGAGTAGCAATGTCTACTTCAGTGATTTCTAGCTTCCAAGAGCATTGGCCAAGTATAGTATATACATAGTTACATTGGTCCAAGCTGGACCTGTGTAACTACTTATGAAGTATCTATACCTGGCATACTTCTTTAAAGCTAGTCATAGTTATTCCTCTATTATAATTATACTTGCACTATTACATATGGTGACAGGGTGTCTGATTTTAAAATATTAATGTTTTAAGTCTATATTTATAGTTACCATTGTCCTGCACCATTATATTAAAAGTGTATATCTGGACCAAATAAAAACCAATAAATAAAACCTGCATTAAAAATGCTGCAAGTGCAGAATTGTTGATCCTGTCAGAAATCGAGTGAGCTCCTATCTTCCTTTTTTATGTTGACAACACAGTTCATCTGCTGCTCTGAAACCCCAAGCAGTTTAGTCAGTCCTGTCTGAATTTCCCTTGCTTCACTACAGGACATCTCACCAATTTTTTTTTTAGAGAGGGGGAGGTGTTTTGTTGTCAAACAGAGGAGAACTGAGCTGTTTTGTGCAGCATAGTAATTTACTTTTCTCTATTACAGATGTGTAGCTTTGTGCAGTTTAGGAATCTGGATGTGCGAGGAGCTTGTAAACCAGACACACCACCCGCAAATTAAAGAAGCACTTAATGTCATCTGTGTCTCCCTCAAAGTAAGAGAAAATCAAATGATACTAAAATATATTTAATTTCTTCCATCTGTAAACCCATAGCAGGTATTGCACAGATGATAGAACTATTAAACTCCCCTCAAAGTAGTTGCTGTCATTCCTAGACTGAGGTTGGGGATACATCCAGGCCTTCTCCCCAGGTGGACATGCACATATCACAACTTTTACTATGTTATACTTTCAGTCATTGCCTGGCTCTGTTAAGAAAAACCATGTAAAGCACTGTTTGCACTACAGGACAAAAATCCTCTATTTAGATCAACTACTCTACATAAAAGCTGCCCTGTCAGCTTCTAAAACTGTAACATAGTTGGTAATAGACTATACTAAAAGAGTCAAACTTCTCTTAAATCCCTCTCAAGATTTTTTTTATTTTTGAATAACTGGTGCTTTGAGCTGGGACTGCCATATTGTTGTGATATGGACAGTATTACAACTGGTGTCTGTCTAATCAGACCTCAAACACTAAAGCCAGTCCTACATGGAATAAAATCCATCCAGTTCAGAACAGCCCAGCAGAATTTCTATCCATTTATGAGCCCTTAGGTCTGTTCGACCGGATTTTCCCTGCTCAATCAGCACTGCAGGCTATAGCCCTCAACACTTAGTGTTTTCTGATGGCGGGAAAGTCTTCCTACTGTCAGAATATAACAGCTCAACAGGGAGGATTCCCTTATCCACCTTGAATGTGTGGATAGGGGAATCTAGTCTTTTTTTTTTTTTTTTTTTTCACCCGCTGGTTGAATGGAAAAAGAAAAATACTTCATCACCTATGTGCTGCTTTAAAGGCATTGTACACTTTCAAATGTTTTTGATTGTTTATATGTTAGTGTAGTTGTATTCCATGTGATGGCCTCTCATGTTGTAGCTGAGGCTTGTGCTGTCATTGCTGATCAGTTTCCATGTATTAATTCACCTAGTTTTCCCCTAGGGACAAGGAACTTTTTTGTTCTGGGTCACACAGCATCCAGTACATGCCTTACCATTACCTCTGTGTGTCATCACAAATGTAGGAGTGCTAATGTGATGAAATGCATCACTTCCTTTCATTGCTTTGCCTGTTTGTGTGTGTGTCAGATCTAATTACTGCTTATCTAGCACCTGCAGAGTACTGGACCGAGAGACCAAGGGATTGTGGGATATGTAGTTTCTTCAAAGGAAGTGTTAGTTCTTAGACTACAGACAGAGGTCATTCATTACCTTTGTGCAGTGCCATGCAGCATGCCTCATTTTTTAACGCAAACAGAAACTGCTGACACCAGAATGTGAAGATTTACTTTGCTATAGGCTGTGTGCATACACGGCAACAAATTACACCATGGGGGAGATTTACTAAAACTGGTGCACTCAGAATCTGGTGCAGCTGTGCATGGGAGCCAATCGGTTTCTAACTTCAGCTTGTTCAGTTAAGCTTTGACAGTAAAACCTGGCAGCTGATTGGTTTCTGTGCAGAGCTGAACTAGATTTTGCACTCTTCAGCCTTTAGTAAATAACCCCACGTGAAACTACATTACCAGTGTAGATCCTATTCAGGGTAAAAGCACACGCTGAAGGTAGGAAGGTTTGTAATGCCTTTAAATATATACTACATCGCTTTGAATGTTTGAGAAGAGCCAGATTGTTCACATGATCAAAAATAATAGTGTCATCTGCATTCTTTAGATCAATTTCTTTGATAAGCACTTAAATATTCTGCATTAATGTAATTGGTTACATTCTCTTGAACCATTTATTCAAAGGACACTTAAATGTACTACATCATTGTGATTGCCTGAGCAGAGCCAGCATTCACAAAGTATCAAGATTGTATTGCTGTTGTCTGCGTTCTCTGGAACTGTTCTTAAAAAATAAATAAAGACTGTACCAGATGTATAGTCCACCTCTGTCTTTTGTTTCTTATTCTTTGTCTTGTAATCTCCGTTTATTTTCTGTAAAGTAGTGCAAATGAATGCATATATAACAAGCAAAACTTGGTCAGTGTGTACATTTGTTTATATTAAAAATGTTTCTTGTAGTATTTTAGATATTAAACTAAATGGTAAAATTATTATTGTGTTTCAGTTTCCTAACAAAGTGGTTGCACAAGTAGCATGTAGTGTTCTGAATGTGCTCCTTAGCTATGTCACACAACTGCAAATATACCATCAGGACTACCCACTGAAAATTATCGAGGTAGGTGCCAATCGCTCCCACATGTTATATGCATTTAACACATGGAGGGGGTTACTCTTGTGTTGGATTGCTTAGGTAAATCGCTCATATGTGCATTTCATTGAATTATACATGTGCTTTCTTTTGGTTTTCTTACAGATTCTGGTAGCCACTGTGACGCACCTTTTACCAACTGCAGAAACCTCATCCTATGAACAAGATAAACGGGTCAGTGTTGAAGGGAAGATTCGTATGCATTCTGTGTTTTGAAAATTGAACAATTGCCTAACTAGAAGTACAGTTAAAGTGTATTTCCTGTCAATTTTTTTTCTTCATTTTGGATAAAATGGGAAAAGGTTAGAACCCTCTTCAGTTTTTTATTGCTTTACAGGGCTCCATTAGAGGTCTGTTAAAGGTTGTCTGTAGGACACTTCTTGTCATGCTGACAACCTTTTCGGCAGAAAAGTGATCGTAACTCTCCAACAGCAACACCGAAACAAAAATGCTTTACTTTAGTAGAGTAGTGGAAGAAGTGAGGGTAAAGCTCACTTGTAAAGCCCCCAGTACCAGCAGAAACCCAAAATGAGTTATAATCCTTCCCCACTTTATCTAAAACTAGAAAAAATTTGTGTTCGGTTTGAGCATACAATTAAACCCCTTTGCTATCAAGCATGCTTGCTGTGAGCTCCAGGAATGGACTGCTTGCATTCTTGTGTTCGACAACCAATCTGTGTGCTTCCTAATCAAATATACAAAACAAGAGGGGTGTATCGAACGCTTGGAGATAAGAGAGCTGTTAGCACTTAAAATGTGACCAACCCAATACTAGATAAATAACAAACAGTGCAGCGTTGTAGACCACTAAAAATAAAAATGATACATTTCTATAAAATTAAATTCCAATATGAATGCGAATAAACTAGTGAAATGAAAAAGCTCATAATCATTTATATAAAGCCATCAGGCATTAAATGCTTACAATCTTGCATATATAGATGAACGCCAAATCAAGTGAAAAGTGCTGAGTGCCAAATAAATAGATAAACAGTTCTTGTAAAAGAAAAAAGTCCAATAACGTTTACAGACGTATGAACCAGTGACATTGATCCAGTAGTGACACCTTCTGTGAAAACCTTCATCTCCATGCACTTACCAGAACTCTGCCCGCAGTATTGCTGAAATCTGTGACAGCCTCCTTCACTCATTCCTCTTGACAGATCCGAGCAGAGGTAACCAGTCCAGGACACACCTTAATAAAAAAATAGCTCACCACACGGAGCCCAGAGAAAGGTGTATAGTGTAGTATTGTATTCAAAACATAGTTAAAAATCCATCTGGAAATAATAATCATATGACCTTAATGATTTCAAATCACAGCTCTTATGAAACGTATATTACTGTAACAACCTTTCCCACTACTCACTACTTCTCTAACAATCCTGTAATACTCTGTTAATGAAAAGGTTAGGAATTGGAAAAATAATGCACAATATGTATGCGCTGTTTTTCCTTCAGATTTCAAATGGTTGGTATTTCTTTTTAGCCATTCTTGTGTTATAAATGGTTGTGTGAAATAGGTTGTGCTAAAATAAATAATCAATCAGTGTGCATATTAAAAAGTCTGCTATAAGTGAACAAGTCTTGTTTTTAGCAGAACGTATAACACCTCTAAAGTCAGAACACATAACTTTCTTGATACTTGTCCACCACCTTTGCTACAGCAAGCTCATTCAATATACTGTACATGACCTCAAGGGTATATAAATAGGTCCTGTACCTATAAATTATTCCACTGGTGATCTGAAGGCACATGGGCAAATCATCTCTCACATATACCAACTTCAACTTATGAAAAGCATAAGGAGCAGCTCAAATACAAAAAAGTAAATTCCATGGCATAATGAGGTTTTAATAACATTCAATAAGAATATAAAAAACATTCATTGAATGCCATTACAAGCACTCTCAGTTTAAACTTGTACTGAGAGTGATGTGCATGCACTTAAAGTGTTACTAAACCCACAACAGTAAAATCAGTCTGTATATGCAGTAAAGCATGCTTGGTATACTCACTGTGGAACCTAAGGGGTTAATCCTCTGCATTGTGTAAAAAGATTGATTTATCCTGACTTCCCTTACCCCCCCCCCCTTCTTCCATTGTCGCTCTCTTATCTCCTAATAAGACATATCGTGTGGAGACACTCTAAACATGCTCAGTTTGGTGTGTATTTCTAGAGAGGGTTTTTTTTTTTTTGCGTAATCAGCACAGGGCCAATCAGCACCGTCCAGAAGAGGTCTAGAGTTCTGCATCCTCCTGGAGCAGAATGAAAACTCCTCCTAAAAGCTTTAACCAGTGCTCGGCTGGAGACTGATAGAAGTCACAAGAATGCTCTAACCTCTGATGGGAAAAGGTATTTAACAATTTATATTTACTAAAATAATTGCACTTCCACGTACTGTGGGAGACCAGATATAGTGAATGCAGGGTCCTGGGTTTAGTAACACTTTAATGAATGTATGTATTTGGATATATATATATATATATGATAGCGCTGTGGTTGCACTCAATGAATTATTTTTTTTTTTTGGGGGGGGGGGGGTGCATGTGATCTGCACTGGGCCAATCAGTGCTGTCCAGACAGAGGGTCAGGGGTTATACAGCCTCAAAGGACAGTCAGAAGAGAGTGAAAACTCCTCCTACACGATTAACCAGTGCTTGGCCAGACACTGATAGAAGTCACAAGACTGCTATACACTGCTGATGAGAAAAGGTATTTAGCAGTTTATATTTACTAAAATAATTGCATTTCCATGTTCTGTGTACTGTGGAAGACTGGATATAGTGAATGCAGGGTCCTGGGTTTAGTAACACTTTAAATATGAGTATAAAGTATGTTGGAGTTGCATGTATTTGATATGCAGAACTGTTATTTTTATATTCTTTTGCAGTTGGTGGTGTCTTTGCTGCTCTCTCTCCTAGACTGGATGATGGCACTGCCCTTATCAGTATTACTAAAGCCAGTGCGGCATGCTGGAACTGAAAATCAGGGAAGGGAAAATTCTGTGTTGAACTGCGCATATAAGGTAAAGTGTAGTTGATTGTTTTATTTCATTTAATGTAATCAATTATTTAGTGAATGTTTACTTACAGAAATGAGTATCGATCCCCTTCTCCTTTATGGACTCTGCAACAAAAGCAGTAAACAGCCTATCTTCTGCTTGTGACCAGTGCATATGGCTATTTCATATTTGCTTCTTTTCAGCAAACAGGTGGAGTTTGGGCTCCTTTTCGCATGTTTACTGGGCTTAAATGAATTGTTTTGCCTAAAATGCATACAGCAGTAGTTGTGTGGCTCTCAGTGTGGATCTAGAAGGTGGGAATATAAAGCTGAGCCCTGTGAAAGGTCTAAGGTGGAGCCCCATGCAATTGGCAAAATTCACAATTGAAACACACATATATGTCAACTGTCTTACCTGCTAAAGGAATTGTAGTTCAGACAGTTTTTATTACTCTAGCATATCTACCATACTGCATAATCAGATTTAGTGATTTTAATTTTTCTTACTTAGACAATATTGCTTGGTTTACTGACCTACCCCAGCCTGCTGATTGAGCGATAAAGGCGCAGCAGCTCATAGATGAGGTCACCAATCTCTCTGCTATCTTCTCCTTTCAGCGTGCTACAGTTTTAGATGAAACTACTATACAAGCTGGAAGGGTCTAGTTGGTTCACTGCCCTGTCCCTCCCTCTCTGAATCTTGCTGTAGGGCATTGTCAGTAAGCTCATTTAAGAACAGAAATCTTATATCAGTACTGGAATAAATAGTAGTTTAAAAATGTTCATGTTCTGCTATAAACTTTCTACTTACTGATGGAAACTGTAAGGGTCCTGAGCTCATTGTGAAGGAAAGAATCAGAAAATTTGTGTATTTTGTAATCTGAAGGTGCCACCATTGATTTAGAAATTCGACCAGCCAAGCCTTCAATTTCACCACCTTCAGTTGCTATAGAAAAGAATTTTTATGGCTGGGAATTTTTTTTTTTCTTTCCAGATCAGCTCATGCCCATTTCTTTTTTGATTATATCTCTTGCACGATTCTCCCATCATTACTTTGTTTTTCAAAAAATTTCCAACATGCCCGATCACTCAAATTCGATGTTCACATGAAAATCATTCTATGCTGCGGCCCACTAATGGTGCGAAATTCAAACAAAAAGTTTTAGTTACGATTTTTTTAAAGAAAATTCTTTCAGAATTCAACCCATGTTTGGCCTGCATAAGACAGCACCTCCCTCAACAACCAGCAAAGTTGATCTCTTATTAGGACTTCAAATTAGGACTTCAGACATACTTTACCACTTTGATGTTATTATAAGTCATATGTATTCTTCAGCTAGAAGGAAAAGCGGTAAGCTGTATGAATGCTTCTGCAACCTTCTGAGACATGTTCTGTGTCCTAGAAGGCTGCAGGCAAAGGGGGTGGGGGAGCAAACTTCAGCTCAGATCACCTAAGTGATCTGGTCAGAAGTGGGAGAGGGTATCTGTCAAAAAAAGGTACCCATCCCCCCCCCCCCCCCCCGAAAAAAAAAAGTGTCCAAAAGTGGTAGAGGAGGGAGGAGTTGGAAAACAGAACTTCCCCTTTTGGGTGAAGTTCCTCATTAAGCACCCTGAGAATAAGTCGAGGATTTTTTTTTCCACCTTGCATGACTGGACCATTTACCATTGCTGTGATCGTTGTCTGGAGCTGATTTTGGAGCACACACTGTATTCTTGGCCCTACCCCCAGCTACATTGTCCAGCAAACTGTGTACATAAATGAACACCTTCAGCTGTTGAAACTTTTTTTTTTCTGTCCTCTAGTCTTGATATGGGCTGATTGTTGCAAACGTAAATAGCAGCAGCCCTTGCTTTTATGGAGCCCTTTGTGGCGACCTTTAAAGGATAAGTATACTGTCATGCAACATGTACTTATTTATTTGCCCCCTTCTCCCAACCTAAAATACTTGACCTCCCCTGCCTTTGATGCATAATTACAATTAAGTGACGACCCTCCACAGTGTTTACATCTTGGATTTGAAGTTGATCCTTGTAGACTCCTATAGGGGCATATCCTACATCAGAAAAAGACTGCTTAGAAGTCTATGGGGCTTGGTAATGAATGCATGACTAATATAGAGTATTTACTATGGGATGGAGGCAAGTATGCATCTGGGACAGGGATTGGTGGAGGTGAGAAATATAGGTGCAGTTTGACATATTCCTGGATTTCTTGTAGTTGAGGTTTCTTCTACACCTTGGCTCTAGTGCTTTTTGTGTTAGAGAAGATAATTCTATCTATCTGTACAACTACTGTAAGGTTTATTGAAAACCAGAAGCTATATTTAGTAATGCCAGAGAGACAGATTGCCCTGTGTTACTTTATTGCCTTAAATTACAGCTCTTCGACATCAGAGGCATAAACTTTGTCACATTGGATTATGAGACAGATATTAAAGGAGATTGCTGGATCCATGGGTTGTGGAGAAATCAAAGTGTTTTAACCTTCAGGCTAAATACTGCTTAAACTCTTTTATGAGAGTGCTATATCATGCAGTTGGTGTATTTTTAAAATAAGCTGGATTTAGACCATTGCCAACAGTACTAAAGCCTTATTTTGCAAATAAATCCAAGGATGACATCCACACTTGTGGATCTGGGGCATGGTCCTCCACTTCATGTACTTTTAATGTTCCTGATAGTAAATAAAAACAAATACTGAGGGTGTTGATTGGGTTTAATATTTCATGGCAGATAGGTCATGGGAGAGGAGGCAGTGTGCCGGCAGGGTGCTCATCTACATACAGGTATTTAACAACTAATAAACACATTTTTTGTACATTTTGTGACCCATGCACCATTTTTATCATCTGAAAATCAGGAAACTTGACCAACATTTTTCTGTAAATTTGTCCCTCCTTTTTTCTTTTTCAGATGTGAGCACATTTTTAGAACTGGTCTAGGGTATGTTTTAAACTGCTGCACTGCTTTGTATTGCCAGGCCAGGTAATCTACAATTCTATTTGCAAAGGGCAAATCAAGTATGACTAGCTGTAAACACTTGCTGTATTTCTCTTCAGCTGAGATGTGTTACAAAAATAGGCTCCTTGGCCCCAAGACCAAAGATCGATTTAAGCAGAATGTGTCCTGGGTAAGGTATCAGCTGTGGCACCCCCACCACCATTTTTTCATCTGACAATAAGGATTGCAATAGGCACATTGTTTGAAAGTGCCCTCTTTGCACGGTCTTTATAGTGTGCCTCATTAGAAGCCAACTGCTTATAAGTACTTCCTCTATTGTGAAGTGACGGGTGTACAGGTATCACCAACTGCACTATCCCCCTGGTTTACTGCAGGGGGTCAGCAGTTGTAGCTGGACCGCCCTGGATGTTCACTGGGTCCTTAGCTCATTCTTAGGTTGCCTTGTGAATGAGTTGCTCCAGCCATGACAACCAATTACATATTAAGTTTTATTACAGCTGTTAAGGTTTGCAGTAAATGTAGTTAAAATGTTACTATTGACTATTTTTATTTTGCTTATAAAGTTGTGATTTATTTGAAATAATTTGTACTGTGCAGGTATTGCATGACTGTGTCTATGGCTCCCAGCATTTTAGCAACCCTCGGTACTTTCCAATGAGCCTTTCAGATCTGGCATCTGAAGACTACGACCCCTTTCTGCAGCTGGAATGTCTGAAAGAACCTGAACCACTCCACTCCCCAGATTCCGAGCGCTCCACCAAGCTGCAACCCGTTACTGAAGGTATTTTATCAGTACAAGTATTGCATGGAATATTGTACTCTTTAAATGACAGGCTTATTCACAACACACCAGTAAAATTACTCAGTTGAAGGAGGATCAAAATAAACATGGATCAAAGTGGGGCAGCTGGTATGCATACCAAACGCCCCTATCACCCTCACTTTCTACTGTGGACAAAAGTTTGGCTCAGTGCAGGCAAGTTGTAAGGCAAGTGTTGCATTTATTTGCTTTAATACTTTGCTCCTAACTTTCTTCATGACCTACACAGTGCAGCAGATGTATTGACCACTTGTGTGCACATAACTTTTTTTGCATTGCCTACAGTGAGGGTCTGGTTTCAAGGGCAAATAATTTCAATAATCCCAGAAATGTATCACAATCTTTTCCTTTTATATAAAATTCAAACATTGCAAGTAATTTCAGTATGGCATTATCCAGTTGGGGCAATAGCCTTCCTGTATAAATCTGTAGTGTATCCATTTAACACAGAACTCTAGGAAACATCCAAATATAAAGCTAAAATACATCTATATAAGATGTCTTACCTACCGAAGGATTTGTGTTCTATCTAAGTTCTATCCAAAAAAATAACACAACTATATTAATCGTACAGTACAGGGAACAGTCATGTTTTTCATAAGAAATAATGTATACCTTCTGCTCTAAGGAAGTGTACAGCAATTCAAAATGAAATACAATAAAGTAATAAAATGGCGGCAGCTAACACACACACCTATTACCTAAAAGTGATAAATACTAAATCCAAAAATAAATGGTGTAGCGCTCAAGACATAAATAAATATTAATATATGAATAATGCATATAAAAATATACAAAACTGTAATAATCTCACAAATAATGATCTAATCCCAATAAATCTGAGTGATCTCTCAATAGTGCCTTGATCCCTATTGGGATCCAAAAAGTGACAAACCAAAGTGAAAAAATAGCGATCATAAAATATATCCAAATGTGATATATTTATACAATAAATGTGCTCACTACTACCCCTATCCTTAATTAGGATCAGTGACTGATCATAAAAATCAGTGAAAACCA